AGAGAGGGAGAGGGAGAGCTTTGATAGACAAAGGAAAAAGAAAAAGGTAGGGGGAAAAGTCATCCTGTTTTCATCCATCTCACCTGCATAATTCGCTGTGATAAATCAGTTGAAGCTGAGAGGTCAAAAGTAGAGTTTGTGATAAAACTAGGAGCAGAATCATTGGATTTGGCTTCTCAGTTGCAGAAGGCAGAGAAACAATAAATACAGAAAGATACAGCAGGTAAAAGGTAATAGTTAAATATAGTAAAAATGTGTTTCTGAATGAAGGCAAAAAAGAGAAATGTTTTCACAGCAAAACATTTGATGAAAAAATCCTCAAAATGTAAACAAATTCATGGGAAAAGTTTGATTTTTCTCTCATTGAGATAAATTCTTATGGTAAAAAAAAAGGCAACAAATGTGTTTATTGTGGGGAAAAAAAAGTTGGTAATGTTTTTGGCTGTTCATGTTCATTTTAATAAAAACCCCCTCTTTTCTAAGACCAAAACAACAACATGATTTTAGATTTCTTTTTACCTTTATCACAGCTGTCCCCCGTGTATCCGCTGCTGCATTCGCAATATGGTTTCCCAAGTCCTGAAAGCCTGCATTTGCCATGTTTACACCTGATGGATTGGCAGGGGTTAAACAGCATTTCCTCTTCATCACAGAGGACTCCCCCATGTCCCTGCAGGCATTTACAACTGTATGAAAACGCATTGATCGGCAAGCAGGTACCATGCACACATCTACAGGGGAAACAAGCCCAAGAGAATAAAAATAAATTATTCATCAAAGTTCAGGCTAAGCAACATTAACTACAAATACTTTGGACTGTACTTAGAAGAAATTGCTTTTGTTTCTAATGGACTTTTTCAGTGAGATGCAGTGAAGTGATTTAGAATTGGTATGCAGGTTTACACAAAACAAGGTGCAGTACAGAACTCTGTCTCACCAGAAAACAGCCACTGTAGATGTGTTATGGAAGACTTTTACAGGCCACAGTTATTAAACCCAACATTTCCTGTCTACCTAAATTTTCAGCATGCTTTTGAGAACAACACAGCAAAAATCAAGCCCAAATTTAATTCACTAGAATTAAGTAGAGAAAAAGGATGCTCACCTGAAATTCTGGTTCTTGTATCATTTAAAAAAAACCCGTTTTGTCACTCATGAAGTACGGGGCTCCGAGCACAAAGAGAGATCAGGCGCTGCCTAACTGAGACTTTCCTGACCCAGCAATGGCAGTTTCAAAGCTGACCACATGCTCCTCCGTCAAATACATCAGTCTGCATTGCCAGCTGCCAGTACCGTGGTCATACAATGTATGAGGCAGGTCTTCACTGAAAGCCAACAGCACTCGTGTGGTACTCATGCAGTTACACTAGATGAGGTTGCATATTATCAAGTCTCACCCAAGTGGCTAAATAAACTAGCTACTGTCTTGGTTGAGCTTTGGCAAACATTTGTGGCAGGCTCAAATCTTGTCATTAGACAAAAAAAGGCTGTGATTAACTCATCTGCTGCATCTGCTAAGTTCTGATGTACAGTGAGGGAACACATAGCTGGTCTTACCTCTCTTCAGAGAGAGGTGGTGGTTCCCAAAGGGAGGATGTTTAATTACCTGTTCCTAGGTGTAAGCTGAAGATTAGGGGAGTTCATGTTCTGAAAACATCACCAATGACTTGGAATAAAATCACCTCCCTTTGTTCATTTGGTGGCACAGGGTCAATAACTTTCTTCCTAGAAATAATGTTATTTTAACTGTTGTCTTGATATACAAGTTTTCTATCTACATACTGTTTACTAGGGAGACCACAGTGAAGACTCCTCTGTAGAGGGGAATGCAATCCTGACATTCAAGGTCACAGTCACCCACCCTAATGTTTCTCCTCTCTAATGTTTTTCCTCTCTCTATCGTAAGATCCCTGAGCCCACAACCTCCTTAGTAGGTTGTGGCAGCCACCTAAATAAATATATAAATAAACAAAAAGCTTTAGATTAAAAAAAAAAATCCCATTCAATCTAAAATAAAATCCTTTGTTTCAATTTGAAGATGGCAAAAATTCATATGAAATTGCATTCCATATTAAAAGAAGAGTTCTGTTAAGAACAACATCTCATTTTGAAATTTTTTAGATAACATAGTCTGTGTATCTGGAAATTTTTTGCTTTGTACTCCTTTAGTACAGTAAGAAATTTGGTAAACTTGAAAAGAATGCACACCACTAACTTTGACAAACTTGCATTAACTATTTAAAACTGTTTTAGTTTATAAATATCAACACGTGCCACTCATCAGTGAAATCTACATTAAAATTCTCCATCTGTACCCTTAATTCTGTGCAAGTCCTTTAGGCATGGTGTAACTTGGAGGAAAAAGAGTATGTGAAGTCATCCTCATCACAGGATATTTAAATGGAAGGCACAACACATAGCCTCCATTCACATATCCAGTTTGGGATTAAAAACTGCAAATATAAAACTTAACTAATAGCTTAAGCACCTCCAACTTCCCTGTTATGCAAGAGTCTATACTTTTGAAGCAACTATGTTCCCTAAAAAACTCCAAATTGTTCCTGTGGTTGAAGTCTGATATTCCAAGACTGTGAGATTAAGCAACTCAAAATTGCAGGCTTAGACAGTGTCACAAGGCAGATAGCTTTTGTTTCGTTTCATTATGTTTAGCATTTGATCTGTTCACTGTTTACAAAACAACCACTTTTAGGAAATCTCATGTATGAAGTTACTCAGGTGACACTGACATCATGATATATTCTATACAGGCTGTTTTAGATATCAAAGCAATCTGTGTCAGGCTCTTTGGTAAAGTTCTGCTTGACTTAGAAGACGATTAAATCTTAGCTAATGCCAACTCTCATACTTTTGCTTCCACCTGTTCTTTGAAGCCCTAAATTTCATCTTCAGACTGTACTGAAAGGAACGTCAAGCTAAGTGCAAACTCTCGGGCACAGTTTCATCTTATCTAATTTTAGGTACCTAGTCAGGCACCCAAGTTAGATATATAATTGCCATAAGCTCCCCACACAATCATGGAGAGAAATGAGCTTATCCAGAGGGTGATTAGACCACTTGAGGTCTAATTTACTCTTTAGAAATGTGTTTATTCCTTTACTGACTATAGAGCAAACTTTGGTCACTATGTTCGTAAGTCAAGCACTGAGATTTAGGTAAAATAAATCTAAACCTTAAGCCTTTTCATGGTTTGCAGGGATCTCTAAAAGATCCCCTACATTTTCAAAACAGAGATTACAGTGACAAGTCTGTTTCTCAGATAAAGTGCAATGTTATACTGTGTTAAACAGACAAAATGCATCTATTCAATAGACAGGATTTAGAGATGAATCAAGAAATACGGAATCAAATTCCCCAGGAACTAAAGAACCACGAAACCCTCTTTCACTCCAAATAAACAATTTTGGTTTGGCTTTCTCTCCTAAAAGCTCTCAGCAATGTACACAGCTGAAACAAACCCAATACTTTCAAGAGCTAACAAAATAGGAAGTGTTCAAAAAACGGGTAGACGTGGCACTCTGGGACATGGTTAAGTCTAGTCTACCCTTGATTGGTTTAGTGTGGACTTGGTAGTGTAGGTTAATGGTTGGACTGGATGATCTTAAAGGTCTTTTCCAACGTAAATGATTCGATGATTCTATGAAATACTAAAGTTATGCTCAATTCCGTCGTTGATACTGCCTGTATCCGATACTTGCCAAGTTTTGTAATTTATTGCAAAAAGAACTCAGCTTGGGTGTTGATGCGTATAGTTATAAGAACATATATAGAATCTAATTTTTCAAGGACACTTCAAGGAAATCCTTTGGTTTTTCTTATTATAGAACTTGATGGTTACAGTTCCATGTTATTTTTGACTCCTGAAGTATAAAATGGATGTGACAGACATCACATTTGTATTTTTTAACCTGCTGTGACTTCCTTTCTTTATCTCTTAAGTTACTATGAAAGAGGACAGGGTAAGAAAAAGACCCAAGAACAATGAAGTACTATAATGATATGCCTCAAAAATTAACTGCTGTGGCTTTGGGAAGAATTCAAAACTTAATAGTACTGAAAGAGTCCATAACCAATGTAAACAATGCTAACTGCATTGTAAAGCATGCTAACTGGTGTATAAAGCTTTAAAGGGTCAGACTCTCCACACACACCATGTGAAAAGATCACTTAAACATCATTTTATATGGGAGTTGAAAATCATCTTATTAGAATATCTTGGGAAACTCAGGCCACTGGTCCTCAAAAGTTATATAGGCCAGAGCTCTGAAAAAGCAGCAGCCAAAAGATCCAAGCAGGCTTACTTTAAAAAAAAAAACAAAAACCAAACCCAAACCTGATATGTTTGCCAAACTGTAGAAGAATAGTGGTAAGGGCAAACAGAATGACATCTTGTTGCCCATGACCAATAAATCCTGAAGAGCTTTGAACTTCTGAAGTTTCTTATCTTCTTGTGCTGGGAGACCATGAGCCAAAAAACTGAATCTGTCTCTATAGTAATTTTAAAAGATGGATATGCACAGATATCAATACTCTTATATACACATATATACGTATCTTTCGCTCGCTCTCTACACATATTATATACACAACCCTCTCTATAAACATACATAAAATGCCTAACCTAAAAAGTTCTAGTCAAATCACCAAAAAGAATTAGCACACACGGACTTAGAAGTTCCTGCTAAAACCTGGGGTACTGTGAAAATACAAAAATATTAGATATATCTATTGTATCAAGTTTTTAAAACACATTAGAGAATAATAATAACTGTAGTTCCTCATTCTATACAATTATAAATAGGCAAGTAGATTTTTTTTTTCTATTTGCAACTTCTTCTAAATGATTTTTGTAACAAATGTTATACCAACACTTGCATCAGTGTATCTCATTACAGTAGTCCATACAGAAGTATGTAAGAGCATATCCCAGGTTTTAGGCAGAACTTAGTGAGATGTATATATCTGCTCCCTTAAACTGGGGACTTTTCCTCATTAAGTTTATGGGAAGAATATACTATAACTGGGATGGTGTTTTCACTTTTACATGCCCAGGATATTTTGTTTCTTGCTGAAAAAAGTGTGAACTTGTATGAAAAAAATATATATAACAGGAGGCTTATATGCATATTATACTACTGTTCTGTCTTGAGGAAGGACATACTTATTTCCAAGACACGGGTCATTAGTTTGTTGATCACAGAGGGGTCCAGTCCATCCTCCTTCACACTCACAGGAAAAGCCTGACTGGCTGGTAGCATGGCATGTTCCATGCACACAAACTTTCTTATGACAAGGCTCGCAACCTGGCAGAATTCCCACTTGCAGTGGCACATTTCTGAAGTCCTGGAGTTCGCTGTTGATATACAGATTACGGATGCAACCATGGAAGCTGGTGCCGTTCTGTCCTGGAGATTGACGTAAAGCTGCTATGTTATTTTTCACAGGCATCCCTAGGAAATTAATAATAGCAAATAATCAATGTAGTCCTTGGTACAATTTTCTATACCATTTTCCCTATTTTTTAAACCTTTTTTAAAGAAATATTTATTCCTAATTAATTATTCTTAGATATTCAGCCTACAGCCATGAGCAATGATCTAGTATTTGTCAAGCATGCATGTAAACCAGCTCCAGACCCGTAAGTGTCTAGATCCAACTAAAAAGAGGTATGTAGGACTTCATACAGGAAGCTCGCAACGGTGAAAAAGTTCAGATACATGCCTGGTTTTGACCTAGTGCAATCAAGTCCAGGATAGTACATAGCTTCTGAATCTTGGAAAAACAAAAGTTGTTGAAATGTAGCAATTGATACATGATTTTTTTGTAAGCTGCTACTCAAATCCAGAAGAATTTAGTAGGACCAGCTCATCAATTTGGAGCTGGCATACACATTTCAAATGTGAAATTCTGCTAGTGAAAATTCTTGGAAAGAAAAGCTCAACAGGAGGAGGTTCCATTACTTTCAAAAATATTTTTGTTCAGTATGTCTCAAAAACAGATTAGTAAAAAAGCCACTCATAGTTTGCCATTACAGTTTTAAACAAAGATAGTCAGTAATAACAATAATTCAAAATACTTATGTGTAGATATTTCTAGATAGTGCAAATGTCCCTGATGCTGACCATTTTCAGAATAATTCCTCTGCTGTAGTCTGTAACTGTTACAGGTGTAATTGAAGCAGGAGGTATATGCGATGTAGTTATCCTGTTGTGATCAGTTAATCATTTAAGACTAATTCAGAAGGAACATTACTGTTAAACATTTTTTCCTTGTAAAAATGAAGTTTCTTCTACTCCTACCCCCTGCTTTTTTTCTTTTTTTTTTTTTAACTTATTGCCAACATATTGGCCTATGTTAGTTAGTCCTTAAGATACTACATTCAAATAATTAATACAGAAATGCCTATATACCTCCTGAGACTAATAAGTAAAGGAAATCAAAGTGTACTGAGCATTAGAAAAAGATCTGTTTACCTGAAAATAAATATGCTTATTACCTGCACAGCTTTATTCATAGGCAAAATTAACAGTTTTCATTCTGGTACTTAGTAAGGTACACAGAAAAAGGCAATGTTCTGCATAGTTGCTCCTTAACCATATAAACTGATACTTCTAATGGTTTTATATAGTTCCTCTGAACATTTAAGAGTAATGCAGAAGTGCTACGCAACCTAATGAAGTAGACCTGCCTTTCATTTAGAGGTTATTGTAATTTCTTTTGTGCTAAGCTTCAGTGATTATAGAAATGAACAACATTGCATCTATACTGCTGAAGAGCCTAATCTTCTTTGATCTTAACAGTTAAGTAAAATAGGCTTGGGACTATTATATTAAAGGACTCAGACTGCAGACAATCATGTTTCCATTTCCTCAAAAGTGCCATATTCTCAAAATCCAGGGACAAGGCAGAGTCATCAAGGCCTCTTCACCCTGATGTCTCTTGAAAGCAACACTCAGCAAATGTTTAGGCATATGGCCTGAGGTATCCAATAGCAAAATAGATGCACTGAATTTATCCATTGTAAAAATAAAAGCTGCATAAAACTAAGTACATCAATGCAATACTAAACTATATGTTATACTTGTAAGCATCAGGAAATTTAGATATGATTTCTGGGAACCATATCAGCATGTATCACACCAGATAATATGAGGTATATCACATGTGATTCAGAGAATTTTTTGTCTATGATCTCTAATATGGGAGACATTTGGAAACACAATGCAAGCATATACACAAGCTTTTAGCGTATACACTTTTTGCTTCTTCTAGCAAGTTACCAAGTGTTAGAAGGCCAACGTGTGTGCAAAAGCCGCTCATATTCTTTAGCAATATTTCCTAGATAATTTTTAGGTAAAGGTTCTTTATAGTTAGGAAAGAACTGCCATAGAAACGATGCAGACAAATATTTCAGCCCTATTTTCCAAAAGGTAAGAAAGTAGTTCCTGTACCCCGTTACGCTTTTGATCACTGAACCTGACTACAGGCAAATTACCAAATTACTGCTCAAGGAGGCAAATTGTAAGACCCCTATTAAATAACACTCATTTTGACAGTGTTACTGTATGACTATCTCATTCAGAAGCTTCTAGAACAGAGCAGGCACAAGTGAAAAGCAGCTGATGCCCTACCTGTCTCAGAAATAGGGACTTCCATGAAACAAGGCGCTACTCTCAACTAGTAAAATATGCTCTAATTTCTGAGAGAAGAATATGAAGTAGAGGTGAAGTCTGTGACCCCTGTGAAGAGTTTTTGAGAAGAAACAGAATGTCCCTTAAGACTTTTTACAAAAAGCCATGGGCTTTCAATATGATTTACTGATATCTGTTATAGAAAGACTGAAAAATATCTAGCATGTGTATTCTGACCACACAAGACTGCCATACAGTTGGAAAAAAGGTCAAAAAAAAGAAAAAAAAAAAGACTATAAGTCGATTAGCCCACTTTCTGTAAAAAAAATTGAATTACCCCTTCCAAACCAACCCAAATACTGTGACCCAAGATTAACTTTGTCAAAAAAAAGAAGGGGCGGGGGGGAGAGAGAGAATGAGAGAGAGAAAAAACCATACAAGGGCTTGCTGTCAAGTCTGAATTTCATCCTGCCAGCTGAGGTGATGCTTACCAGAAATGCCATTTTAACAGGAAGGTGATAAGAGTAAGTGTAAGCTACATGATGATATAGGTGTCAAACTAAGACTTTGGCAAAGATAAAAATACTGCATAAAATCCTAGTGAGAATTTGAGTTCTTAACTGATGGAAATGTGTGACTGAATTCTCTAAAAATTCTAGATACAGTTGGATAAGAAAAAATTGAATGAATCTCAAAAAGATGGGTAATATACACAAGTGAAAGTTAACTGTCTCAAGAGTTTTACAGATCATAAATAGATAAACATAGATAAAGAACAGAAAAGTTTAAGAGCTGAATATCAACCTAGATTCTAATAAGATTAAAATTAGGTTTTTTGCTTTACTTTGTAATAATGTGCTTCTAATGATGGTTTTCATTCTGTTTTGGACCAACATTTTCTATGACAGCAGAAATAATTGTCTGCTTGGAGCCTGAATGTGAAGAATAGAAATAGAAGTAACACAGGGCCTCTCTAAAGAATACGCACTAGGATGAAAAGACTCCTGCTTTTAGGAATCAAACCACTGAAGGAAAAGGTTACTTCCAAAAATTATGTCTTCTGATACTTCAAAATGATGATGCAGATTACTATGATTTTTGTAATTGAGACACAGATCTGCAAGGTGAAGAAGCAAGGAGGAGAACCACTGTGACAAATCAACAAGTTAAGTGTTAGCACAGCACAAAATAAATGTTTATAGTTGGCAGTCTAGCCTCATTTCATTAAAATGTGCCCATAACAGACAGAAGGATGATTCTGCACTAAGCTCAGTCTTCAAGAAGTAGTAAAATTGGCCTTAGCAGTCATTAAATAACAAGCTGATGTTGACAACAGAAATAAGCAAGCACACAGTATCTTATTAGAATCTAGGACCATCTCTCCTTCCAAAAATCTGGCATAGGACACTATGTAAACAACACTGCAGAACTGCTACATATGAAAAAATGCAGATGTGCTTCCACAAGGCAATCCTCCTTCGAAGGTTCATGATATGAAGCAATTTTAAAGGCAGCTCATACATTTGATAATTTTAATTCTTTTCTTTGCTGGTCTGGGGAGTGATGACTAATGTTGAATTCTATCTTGTACTTCTTCCCATCTTACATGGAAGGAGGCAATCACAAAATCTGAAAAGATTTGACAACAAAGCTGAAGTGTTTCAAGGGAAGAATGGGGATTTTCAGAGACAAAAGTCAACTTACCCCTCATCACTTGCAACTGAGGCACTTGTTATACTGGTTTTATAGGAGAAATAGACGATTCTTGATCTGAATCAAAGCAGCTTCCTGTTTTTCTTTCCCATTAGAGATATATCTAAGCAGCTACCCTGAGCTTTTCTGTATATTTAGAAAGAGGATAAACAGTACCTTTGCTAGAGAAAATAGGCATCTCATGAATGTACTACTGGTAGCATAATTTTTTGCAAGGACGCAAGATGCTCAAGTCTAAAAACTTTATTCTCAGACACAAAACAAAATGAAAAAGAAAGAAGGTATTCTTTTCTTTTTACAGAAAGAACAGATCAGAAGACGACTCCTTGCATGTCTCCTATAAGAGCATACAGTTAAACTAAGTAGAAGATGAAGACTGGTAGAAGATCAGCAGTATTGAAAAACCATGCTGACTCTCTGATCACTAAGAACTTGGACTTCCTACGAAGGACAGTAGGAAGGCATGCAGTGGAGGCTGACGTTTCTGACTCTTTTACCTAGGTTATGCAGGCCCATCAGAAATTCAACAGAAACTGCTGGTTAAAACAATGGGCTTGAATCCATAGTTCTACAAAGTAAATTGCAGCAAATGATCAACAATGTTTCAAATAGTTTATTTCCACAAACACCTACAGCCAGTTTTACTGAAACAAACAATTCTTTCTTCTCAAAATAAAACAAAACCCAAACCCTGCCACACACTGTGAGGCAACTGTCCACTTGGTTCCCTTCTTACCTAATGTCATAACTCATATCAGCCCTAAGCAATAAGATGTCCAGACAGAAATTATACTTCATGGCTTTATACCTTGCTGTCATTTCCTGCAAATATTTGTACAGTGAAATAGAAATGTAAAACATCATCAAAACAGAATGCTACCATTCTACACTTTCTGAATAGGCATTACTGCATCTTCAGGTAGCTAAACAATGTTAAACACACTTCTTCAGTATAGTAAAAAGCTACATACCAGTAGAAAATTACAGATTTTTACAGTGGGCATAAAATATCCATACTGATAAAAAAGCAACAGGTGCAGTTTAAGGACATTCTATTTGTTAAAATTGAAACTATCAAGATTAACTGCTGGAGTTTCATCTTAAGGTGTTATCTCAGTGAATGAGTCTCTTACCGTGTGTTTATTAATGTATGTTACCAGAATAAATTAGCTATGATACTGTTAATAAGAAGCAGTAAGATACTCTTACCTCCTACATACAGTGGAGAATCAAAATTCAGAGTGGATTGCTTGGACAAATTGGTAATTATCTTGGGGCTTCCTCCATCAATAGATAAAGACAGAATCTGATCCATAGCTAGCAGCTCCACAATGTGGAAATTGCCATCATTAATAGTTTCCACACTGCAAAATAAACATTAATATTAACTTTACACAGTTGACGGTCTGGTTAGAACAGTTTTCGGTCTTCTTCCCCTTTAATAGTTAATACAGCTTCAGAACAGAACTTCTCCAGGACTGCAGTCTCCTGAAAACTAGATTTTAAGCAAGGACATGCACGTATGTTTAAGAGCTAATACAATATAATACCCCATCAACAACACTCTATTAATAATATGTATTGTAAATTAATAGCCCCTCTTCATTCAAAGTTATTCCTGTCTTCATCAAGTAATGAACTGTGTAAATATAGGTGATATTCTAAACATCAGTCAACATACATTACTAGGCAGGAAGCCAAACACAAAAAAAGGTTGGAGTTCTTCTGCAACAATGATCAGAGAGCTGGAACACCTCTCCTGCGAAGAAAGGCTAAGAAAGTTGGGGTTGCTCAGCCTGGAGAAGAGAAGGCTCCGGGGAGACCTTATTGCAGCCCTTCAATATTTAAGGGGGCTTCTAAGAAAGATGGAGAGAGACTTTTTACCAGGGCATGTAGTGATATGGCAAGAGGTAACCATTTTAAACTAAAAGAGGGTAGATTTAGATTAGATAGAAGCTATAAATAAAAGAAGGTAACGTAAAGAAGAAACTTTAATATGAGGGTGGTGAAACACTGGGACAGGTTGCCAGAGAAGTTGTGGATGTCCCATCCCTGGAAGTGTTCAAGGCCAGGTTGGATGGGCCTTTGAGCAACCTGGTCTGGTGGCAGGTGTCCCTGCCCATGGCAGGGGGGTTGGAACCAGATGATCGTTAAAGGTCCCTTCCAACCTAAACCATTCTATGATTCTAATGTTATTCCAAGATATTATTTGTGCGCACGTGTGTACGTGTTGTGTAGTATTGGGTTTACATATTTTGCAAGTCTGAACGACGGAGTTGACTCCAGTGATACATAAACCTACTATTTCATGGAATATGGAACTGCATCTAAGCTTAGTCCTGCCAGACAAAAATCACACCGTTAGTCCAGACAGCTCCACTGACGCTAGCAATAAAGTAATTTGTTATCTTTATTAGGCATGGTTATTTCCATGTGTTCAGCTTCTGGCTAGCACAGTGAATATTATATTCATTTTTTTTTCATGCCTACATATACCATTTCCTTCTGCTTACTAACAAGATATGAACCCACTAATAGGAGAATGCCCAAAAGGTGTCATGCAGAAAAGGCTTGTTTCAAGCACGGTGCTTATGCTGTGTAAGGACAAGCCTACACAGGTACAAGAAATGGCTGCCTATGCTTACCAGCCTCAATATCTACAAAGCAAATGTTTAAGTACAGGGTAATTACTCTGCACCTGAACACAGTTTAAGTACATCAGAGAAGAAAGAATATTATTACTCAATGCTGGGACTGAATATATCATTGTACTTACATTACTTCTAGCCTGTTTTCCACTGGAGAATTAAGAGCTGAATGTATGGCTGCATGGAAGTTATGACAATGAGCTGTAGTCCAGAGACCAGACATTACAACCATTCCCATGAGAGCCTTTATTTGCTTCAGGGCACCATCAAATAAGTAAGCGTAAGCCTTTGAAAAAGGTTATTTAAATGAACCAATTGTATGATAGCCTGAGATGGACTGAACAGTCAGTTAGCTCTTCTCATCAGGAAAGCAGCATAGCTGAAAGGGATTAGCTTCCTAAATCTCAAGGAAAAAATCAAGCAAATTACCTTATAACAGCCTTAGTGACATTTTAATTAACCTAACTGCTTTTGTCCTGGAACAGATCAGCAGCTTTCACATGGTTGTTTACAGCTGTGACACATCAAATAGTTTCTTAGCTATTTATTTCTAACTTGTGCTGGTTTTGGCTGGGATACAGTTAATTTTATTCATAGTAGCTACTATGGGGCTATGTTCTGGATTTGTGCTGGACACAGTATTGATAATACAGGGATGTTTTCATTATTGCTGAGCAGCGCTTACACAGAGTCAAGGCCTTTTCTGCTCCTCACCCCACCCCACCAGCAAGCAGGCTGGGGGTGCACAAGAAGCTGGGAGGGGACACAGCTGGGACAGCTGACCCCAACTGACCAAAGGGATATTCCACACCATATGATGTCACGCTCAGCAATAAAAGCTGGGGGAAGAAGAAGGAAGTAAGGGGGATGTTTGGAGTTATGGTGTTTGTCTTCCCAAGCAACTAGTACACATGATGGAGCCCTGCTTTCCTGGGGATGGCTCTAAACACCTACCTGCTGTTGGGAAAAAGTGAACGAATTTCTTGTTCTGCTCTGATTGCATGCATGGCTTGTGCTTTACCTATTAAACTGTCGTCTTCTCAACCCACAATTTTTCTCACTTTTACTATTCTGATTCTCTCCCCCATCCCACCGTGGGGGAGTGAGTGAGCAGCTGTGTGGGGCTTAGTTGCTGGCTGGGGTTAAACCATGACACAACTCTATGTGAAGAGGCTCAGCTCAACACAGATAAAAGATCTGCATGGTAACATGCATGCTTTACATAAACTCAGTTTTACGTGAAAGTGCAAACACATAACAGAGCAGACAGTGGCAGAATAAACACTTTTTGGGAGTGGGCAGGAGGGGGACTGCCAGGTTCTGTGTGGGGAAGGAAAAGGTCAGGGTTCATCATTCCTGAAGAGTAAGGCGTATTCAAGGTATTAAGAGGTTTTTTTGCTGTGATCAAGCAATAAGAAAAGTCCCAGCATTAATTTATTTAACACATTTCAATGAATCCAGGAAAAAAGTTGTGCTAAGAAATCAAAATGCATATGACTTCTTAAGTAAGCAAGAAACCCTAATATAATGTTCTTGTTCCAAGGAAACATGTTATTTTACAACTTACTAACCTTTCACACAATAGTATTTAAAAAGATGAGAGCAACACAGAACATGCATTTTTATAGCAAAAGGTCATTCCAGGGATGTATAAAACATAATGTGTAAAGGGAATGCGTCTCTGTTAAAAGTGATTATTAAAAGCTTCTAGTTTAAACTGTTTTACTGCTAAAAACTTACTGCAGAAAGAGGAGCCCTCCTAGGTAAGGGTGGTTTAAATTAAAGGGGAAATAAACACAAGGCATATCTGTGCAATATTTCCTGCCAATGCACTTACATTACTTCTAGCCCATTTCCCATTGGAGAAATGAGAGCTGAATGCATAGATCGTAATGAAAAGCTGTAAGAAAAACTGATTTAAAGCTTCTGGAACTCTATAGAAGAAGAATGACTTGGGGAGAAATATTCCCATATTTCCAATAAATATATGGTGAAAACTAGTTTACAGAATGAAAAGGTTTGGGGTTTTTTTTGTGTAAAGACATTTAACATTTAAAAATGGACGTCCAGACAGAACAAAATCCAAGTGGATCAACTGTTCCCAAATAACAATCTCCAATGAATTACTTTTCTTTATTGGTCTTGGCACTGCCATCATCCCATCTTGTTACTCAGATTGACTGATTAGTGCTTTTGGGATGATGGCTCTTTCTGCAGTCAAATCCCATTGGTAAATCAGTTCTCATTCGCTCTACGCAGCTAGACTGCTGTTATTGTTGATTCTCCATATTTATCACGATTAAATCATCTGTTTGCAACTTTGTTTTGTTGCTACTGCAAGCACCTCTGTAGGCTTTACAGCTCCCATTTGACCCATTTTCAACAGACCATTTCTTGATTGCTATTTATATTATAAAACTTATATTTGAATCACTCTATTGGCTGGTTTTTTTATTTTGGCCTCTGTTTCAGGCATCTCATCATTGTTCAGTGGAGTACGACTTGTCTTATTCTTTTTCCTATACTATCCATGAATCTTCAGTTCCTTAATGAAATCTGTAAATCTCTTGACAAACTTCTCAGTTTTTTAATTTCCTTTCTGTCCTTCTCACTGTAAGCAACTTGCCATCTTAGTCTGCAAACTATCTACCCTGTTACCAAATCATTCTGAAACCTCATTGTTCTTAAACATTATGAGTTAAAATGCTCTTTTGTCTTCTTCTGACAAAACATAATACATTAACTTGCTTTCTTTTATAATTCATCACCTATTTGTACTGGGTCTGGCTGCGATGGAGGAGTTATTCTTCATAATAGCTGATGTGGTGCTGTGTGTTAGATTTATGACCAAAACAATGCTGATAACGCACTAATGTTTTAGCTATTGCTGAATAATGTTTGCACAGTGTCAAGGCCTTCTCACTTTCGCCCCCAGTGAATAGATTAGGGGTGCGCATGAGGTTAGGAGGGAACACCACCAGGCAGATGACCCAAACTAACCAAAGAGATATTCCATGCCATAGAATGTCATGCTCAGCAGTAAAATGGAGAGGAAGGGGCGTTTAGCTAGGTTAGCCATCTTCTGCTTGGGAAGCAACTAAGCATCGGTCTACCCATGGGAGATGGTAAGTGATTGCAATTACAGCACTTGTTTTGTTTTCTTTCTTTCTTCCTCCACTTTTCCTTTGGTTATTAAACTATTTTTATCTCAACCCATGATTTTTCTGACTTTTACTCTCCCTTATCACTTCCCCTGTCCCACTGGGGGTGGAAGGGGAAGTGAGTGAGCAGCTGTGTGGCACTTAGCTGCCTACCGGGAATAACCCCTGACACTATTTCACAATATTATTTTAGCGATTTATAATTTTGGTGAACTTCAACTATTTCTTCTAAAATTTTACATGCTGAATTGTGCCTGGAACTGATTTTTATTTTTCTAAACAGACCAGATAGTTTCCCAAACTGAAGGGAACACACTCCTATCTTACACTTCTATTAACCCTGCTTTGCAGGTTGTGACATTTGGCACCATGTCTATCCATTTGTCATCTTTCTGAAAATTCACTGAGGCAAGGTGTTAAAATCTTGAAAACATGGAAGTCTCCAGAAATGGGAGGGCTAGATCCCCAAATTCTTTGTCCATGATAGCTATATTTCAACACACAGATGATTAGCACCTTCCCTCCTGCTGTACTTTTGGGCTGCAGTAGTACTTGCTGATCTGGGCTCGCCAACCCTTTCAAAGAGAAGGTATTGCCTTAGCTAGATCAAGGTTATGTGGACAGAGAAAGAAACTGTGTGGTTCTCACTGAGAAGCAGCAAAAATCAGGCCTACAGAGAAAGAAAAGAAAGAGGTAGGACTGGGCAAGAAATAGATGGAATAAAGCAAGAATCAGAGTAATGAATGGTAGTGGATTGTAAGAAAAACAGGACTGGAAATTGAGTCAAGGAGAAGACTGAGAAGGACGAAACAGAGAAAGGAAAAGTGAATCACTAGGTTAATGTAGATGTGTCTGTGAGCAGTTTTTGAGCAAAGTTGATCAGATCTAGCTGGCTTAGAAAAATGGAGGGAAGGGAGGAAAGAAACCAAAGGGAGGGACTGAAAGAAGGACAGGAAACATAATAGGACACAGCTTTAATAGCTAATGAAGGTACAGAAAGACAACATGCAATGAATGGGTGAAAGGAAGGTAAAGAGCTGAAAAAGGGCAGGAAATGTCACAAAGATCCTAGGAAGGTAAAACAGTAAGAACTGGAAACAGGGATGGCTAAAACCAGAAGTTAGAAAAACAGGAATAGGTTGGAAAGCATGAAGGGATTAGGGTATGTGTAAAAGATCCTGTGCTACACTATACTCCTTTCCAGAACCTGAAATAGGAAATAAATAATATCTAATTTGTACAGTGATCGCTGGATGCACAAACATATACGCATGTGGAAATGTATACATGGCTTCCACCATACGCACTTCCCTCGAGGACAAGAGACTTTATTACAACTGATCTCAGTACCACTGACAATTTTCAAGTATCTCCTAGAAACTCACCATGATTCTTATTTGAAATGAAAGGGAGGTTGTTAACAACAACAACAATAATAATAACAATAATATACAAGTGTGTATATGCTTCACTAAACAACTGTGTTAACCCTGTAACACTTCACTACATTTCCCATCCCTTTCTTCTGCATTTTTCACTGGTCACATAATTCAAAACAGCTGATCAACTATGTAGGGGAGATGCTTCTAATTGTTCTGTAACACTAACCTAATTGGACTGTTTGTTAATTGATTACTTTGTTATTAATCCCTTCTACATTTACGGTTTTTAGTTTTACCTGTATGAGTAATGTTTTCCAATCTTTTTCTACAAAACTAAAATGGGCCAGTGTGAATTACCAGTACTTCCAGTATATTCCAGTAATACTGAAGAAAGTGTTAAATTGATGAGAAGGAAATATATGTTTTAAATGGGAAGAAGTATTCTCGATAGATTAAACAAATGGGAGCAAAAATAACTTGAAATTACATATGATCCTGATTCCTATTCTCAGACAGCTGTACCTGTCAAAAAAAAATAATCAACAAAAATAATTAAAATCCTGACAAAACAATCTAAACTTCTTTAGCACTATCCCAGATAGAAAAGAAAAATCTTATTTTGAATTGTAGTCACTGAGAAAAGTTAATGTTTCATGCAGTTTCAAATTTGTGTGAAATACTTCAATCTCCTGTAAAGTCAAATCCTATTTTTAATATATGAAAAATTATACAATTAAAATATGTATACTATTTCCACATGTTAAACCATTTCATGGAATTGTAAAAAAACCTTAAGAAATACATATTGCATCAGAAAATAAAAGCAACCTTAAGATGCTTATTGTAAAAGGCTATGTTTTTACTAAACAGCTTTATATTGTAGTTTATAGGAATGAGTTTTTTTCTGTGGAATGGTTTTAGTAATCTACTAAAACCACAGTTCCCTTGGTGTTATTACCTAACAAAGTTTAGCATTGTTTCCCTGCTATATAAACTTAAGCTTTTGATTTTATATTGCCATTTGAGTACAAGCATTTCTAAAAATCATTTATTTTCAATGAAATGTCCCTAATAGAATGCAGAACAATGTCAGCTGCTATAAACTCTAGCAAGTAAATATACACTAGATATAATTTTGCAACACAAAAGGTGTAAACACAGCAAAAAGAAGATTCAAGGAAAACTCATTTAACACTTCCCCTTTACTTCTGAATGTATCTGTAGCAACAATAGGCAATCAAGGCCAAGAAGTGATGCCTGTTGTCTTTTTGCTCCCTCTTGCAATGTCTGTCTGCAAATTCTTGAGAAGTTACATAAAACCTCCCTGGAAATTCAGGTGGTAATTTTTCAGAGAATCAGAGAAATTTGACTTAAAAATCCCCTGAAAAATTATGCTCCAGAAATGGATGTGGATTCTGTCTCTTAATGACTTTCGAAGCACAAAACATTTATTTTTCAAGGGTAGTGCCTTTTTTCAGAATCAAGTTTTTAGCTTTCTCTTCACTTGCCAGGGAAAAAGTCCCACATTGTATGCCTGCCTAACACAGAAGAGAAGAGAAGCTTCAATTTCATTTCTGCTTATGCAGTATAGTTCTGCACTTTACCCTGCACACTAGGAAATTATTTGGCAGTAAGATCATGGAAAAAATTCCACTTCCACAAGTGGGCTTTACACAAATGTATAAATATTCTGCTGAAAGCTAACTCTTACTCAGTTTTAATGGGTCAAATATATATTATCTTTCTGACATATCTGCATTAGAGTTATTTCCTAAGCCAAATCGTGTTTTTTGGCAATGGTTTTTAAATGTCTGACAATACATTCATTTGCATATATTTCTTTTAACCATCTAAAAATGTGACTGATATAAGGAATTAACACATGTTTTGTTTCAGTTAGAAATTCGTTTCATCAGGGTTCACCTGTAAATAGCAGAGGCTGGATAAGATCCTGTGTCATAACTGACCCTCACTCTACCCCGGTACAGCTCTACCGCTATGTGATCTTTATCGCCTTTGTAGAGCAGGATCCCACTGTCTTCATCTGTTGCAATCTAGTTAAAAGAAAGAAACACTTAGAAAGTACTAAAAATAAATATTAAATCAAAATGCTGTATTAAGTGAATCTCTGAATTTACTGCTGTAGCCTATTACTTCACTACAAAATTCTTCCTTGAATGACAACCTGAGAAAATTCTTTCTCTTCCTATCAATGAGCCCATCTACTTCAATATGGAGTTATTTCAGTGACTCTTCTAGATTTTTAGCTCAAGCTGTGAAAAGCTCTTTCAGTGAGCCGATAACAACTTTGGCTAATTTTCCACACCATAAAAAGTCATTTACATTCTTTTCCAGATCAGAATCTGCAACACAAGCAATCTTACCTGTAGAGTGATATTGGTTTGGGGGCGTATCTTAGCTGAAGGGATTTGTAGATAGGATTCTTTGTTGACAAAATTTATACTGATCAGCTTTTCACATTTCTCACCCTGGTAGCCTGATAAACACTGACAGATTGGTTCACTCTCTTTTATGATACACTGGGCTCCATTTTGACATTCATAATTATCACAAGGGCTGGTGCGAGGCAGAACCATTGGTGGTGAAAACTCACAAAACAAGCCACTAAATACAAACAGAAAAAATTAGTATTTCCAGAAAAACCCAACTTTGACAAAAGACATACATGTTTATACTGTCTTCAGATCTTTCTCACCTGTATCCTTCTGGGCAAATACATGTATATCCATTAACTGCATCAGTACACTGTGCTCCATTTTTACATTTGTTGTCCTGGCAGTCATCAAAGTCAATATCACAATGCTCACCTACATATCCAGGTGTGCAATCACATCTGTGAAACAGGAAAGCAAGCGGGATAGCACAGTGCCTTTTAACAATACAGTGTACTTACGACAAAGTTAAGGAACTACTGAATTGTTTAAAACTCACGGAAAAAAATGCATTACTGTGACTTTGTGTGTAGAGACTACGCAGCTTAATCATGCTGTTATATGGGGAATCTACATATGTAATGGATACAGGTTTGCTAGTTACACACGGTTACTCATCTGCCATTATATTGAAGAATTGTGGTTTAAATCTAGAGAGCCCTCATGAATCATTTTGATAGTTGTTCTTGGAATTTATGAGTAATGCAGAATGTTACAGGATGTTGTAAGTGGCTGCGAACACTAAAAATAATCAATATGCTTAGTTGCTGAAACCAAGAAAAATAATCCAAGCCTTGTATTATACTGATGGATATTTTCTTTGTCAACTGAACAGCTATGAATGGACCAATGCTCCATTTATACAGTTCAAAGGTTATGCATAAATTTTTCCCCTTGAAGTTCCACCAGCCTGATAGACTATAAATAGTTCCATGGTTAGTGAACTAACAGAAGTCTCAAAACACATCCTCTTCCCTCCCTGAGCCCCCGCTGAACTAGAAACAGCATATCCTCAAGACAGTATGTAATGTTTTTC